TGAAGTTCATGGTCGTCCCCAACTATACGTACCTTAAGCTGAAGATGCTGGGCCCCTGCGGGGTCATCACCATCGACACCTCCTTCCAGCGCGCTTACGAGTGCGAAGTTGAATGCTGCGATCACGCCTCCGCCGTCGTCGCCACCAAAGAACTCGCCACCCTCAGGGAGGAGGTTGCCGAAAAAACGCCCGACGCCAAAACAACAACCGGGTCGTTCAAACCAGTAGAGGGCTCCAAGGAGGTCGACATGGACCCCAGTGGCTCCGAGGCTAAGAGGGTACGTATTGGTACTTTGCTCTCTTCCGAATAGGAAAGCGCGCTCGTCGACTTCCTCAGCGATAACAAAGACATCTTTGCATGGAAACCCTCGGATATGCCAGGCATCCCAAGGGAGGTCGCCGAGCATGCTTTAAAAATCCACCCAGACTCCAAGCCAGTAAAACAACGCCTGCGCCGCTTCGATGAAGAAAAACGCAGGGCCATCGGCAAAGAGATAGCAAACTGTTGGCCGCTGGGTTCATCAGGGAAGTATCCCACCCAGAGTGGCTAGCAAATCCCGTTCTTGTACGAAAGAAGAACGGGAGATGGAGGATGTGTGTCGACTACACGAGCCTCAATAAGGCGTGCCCAAAGGATCCGTTTCCTTTACCACGCATTGACCAAATAGTTGATTCCACCTCAGAGTGCGAAACCCTATGCTTCCTTGACGCATACTCCGGCTACCACCAGATCACGATGAAAGAGTCCGACCAGCTCGCGACGTCTTTTATCACCCCCTTCGGATCGTTCTGCTACGTTCAATGCCGTTGGGTCTGAAGAACGCTGGGGCAACTTACCAGCGCTGTATGCTCAACTGCTTCAGGGACCTCATCGGGTGGATCGTTGAGGCCTACGTCGACAACATCGTAGTTAAATCCAAGCGGGCTAGGCTCCACCTCACCCGAGGGCTGAGGGCTAGACTCCACTTCGCTCGACCCTCGAGGGCTAGGCTTCGTCTCGCCCGACCCCCGAGGGCTGGGCTCCGTCTTGCCCGACCCCCAAAGGCTAGGTTCCATCTCGCCTGATGGACCTCTTCCCGCCCGATGTCCAAGGATTGGCTCCGCCTTGCCTGACAACCGCACCTCGCTCCCTCATGATGATAGGCACAGGGTAAGACAAGACGTTCGGGTCAACCATGGCACCAAAAGACCATGTCCTGCGCCCCTGCAGGAAAGTACCGTCAGGACATGACAGGACGGGTGCTTAGACCCTTCCAGGCGTAACAGAGCCTAAATAGTGTTGCAGGCGCGTACTCTTCGCCATACAGTGTTGTAGGCGCCGCCTTTAACCCACCAGGCGAAGAACCCAACACGGACATACGACAACCACTACGCTCCAAGGAGAGACTCCCATCCTCTACAATGGTAGAACAAGCAGTCACCGCGACATCCGCTCCCTATGGGGTCGGGGTTCAGCAACCCTGTCCGACACGCCGCCCGTAGGGGCGGGATGGGATGCACCCACTTGCTACAAGAGGCCAGGGCATGGCCTACGAAGATCAGTGAACACAACACTTCTAACACTATCTGCCATGTTATACAGGGCAGGTGCTAGGAAAAAGGAAGAGTCGAATCCTTCGAAGGATCTTCTATACCCTTGGTGTTTTCCTCTTTCTCCCATCTGTAACCCCCGCCCCCCTTGGTCTATAAAAGGGAGGGCAGGGCTCCCCACTAGAGGGATGGACCAAAAACAAGGCAACACGCACACATAGCCAAGCTGCGACCAAGCTCTTGGCTTCCTTTCGACCCTTCCATCAGAGACTTGGGACCTGTCCCTCTATCGATCGTTTGTATCCCCTACTACGAACCATTCATGGTGCTAATAACACGAGCAGCAACAAACTGGACGTAGGGATATTCAGCCCGAACCAGTATAAATCTTGTGTTCTTTAGCGCACCATCCGAGCCTAACGCGCATTACTATAAATTTACGTGACGGTGCTTGTACGAAACACCGACAGCCTGGTTCCTCCTTCCAGCTTTCAATTTGTTCTTCTTTAGCCTTGCTAGTCTTTGCTCATCATTTTCGTTGCTGTCGCTTTTCTCATCTGGCGAGATGTTGCCTTCTGATTCGTCTGAAGATTTTATATCTGGTATCTGTGGTGGCTCCAAAGGTTGTTCTAACTGCTCCGCCATGTATACAGTATACCTCTTCCGAGTTCTTCTTGTACGGTATTCCTTCCTTCGTTTGGTTGAGCTGTCTGTAGCTTCTAAACTGGATCCAAGTTCTTTTCCCTCTTGATAAGGTAGTTCTTCAACGCGCGTGCCAGTCTGGACTTTGCTTGAGGTGAAAGAACCTGGCCAATGCACCACACAATCTTGCGGGGTCACTGTCATGGTCATCCCTTCTTGTGCTCCCTCTAGGAGTATTCTTCTTGCTGAGTTCATCTTGTTTTGGGTAAAGTGTTGATAGACTGATGCCGCGTTGCGCAGTCCGTAAGTTCCCAAGTTCTTCTTTGAGTTGTACGGGTCGTATCCCTTCGCGATCGTTGTTGTGTCTCCAAGTCCAATTAGGCTTGACTCTTGTGCCGTGAAGATTGTCTTGGAATTGGGTTGTATCTCTTTTTCAGAGTCGGTTTCGTATCCGCTTTCTTCCTTATTCTGAGTTGTATCCGAAGTTGAGAGTTTCGTCATCTTCTCGGTGAGTTTGTATTGAACTTCGTCATCAAATTCTTTTTCTTCTCGGAGACGGGTACGAAGCTTGCCGTCGCTGTCAGCCTTGCAGATCTAGGATCCGAAGACAAAGGTTGTCCCCGCCGAAAAGGTCATCTTGAGGTTGAGGTCCGCCGAACTCTCGAGAAAAAATTCGTCGAAAGCCCCTACCTAGCGCGCCAGCTGTCGATGTTTTACCACCGATAGCCTGCCACGGGGGTTCCCGGGACAGTTGTTTGGGCTTCGACGAATAGCGGAATTCGACGGTTACGCAAAGAGACTCACGATTTATACTGGTTCAGGCCCTCGACTTGGTCGAGTAATAACCTTACGTCCAGTTTTGGCGTTAGCCTGTTTGCGTTGTATTGCTTTGAGTATCGGGTTTGCGTTCTCTTCTTACAATGGGTACCCTCACCAGCCCTTTATAGTCCAGGCGCTGAGAGGCGTTGTTTGTGTCCTATTCGGATACAAGGTCAGAGTCCTAAGCTACGCTTCGGGCGCCTTTCCTTGTATAGTTTGCGTTGGAGTTTCGATTTTGCACGTTGCTTTGCTCCGCGTTCTTCTTGGCGATTGGGCTGTAGGCCTTGCTACCAAGGCCTACCTCCCTGCAGTATGGTCTATGGGGGGCCCGTAGGGTTCCCATCGATAATCAGCTTCGTGCACATATGGTTGCTGCCACTCCAAAATACTTGAACACCAGCTCCAAAATACTTGCAACACCACATAGTACCTAACATGAAAAAAATGTGAAATATCAGTGCAATGTGCTCTGTACATTAACTCTTGGCTAAGTTTTGCCAGGATCAATATATTCTGACTTCATTTCCTCATTTATTCATTTATTCCAGATATATAGCAGCACAGAAGTTCATTTATTCATTTCAGGCATAATTCATTCACAGACAGCTGAAATGCCAAGGGATGCTAGCAGCAGCATGCCAGGCAAGTCACATAGATAAGCGACACATAGATGACATATATAACCATTCATGGCACAAGCATTCTACCATATAGGCTGCTATATTGATCTGGTTCCATTCCACCATTCAACGAACACACTAATAGATGACAGATTTCATAAATGTTCATCAGAATACAAGAGAAGATAGAGATAAGTACTCACAATAGCATTCTGTGCATCCTCACTAAAACCTGTCTTGCTGCTGCAGTGGGTTGCCTTGAATAGATCAATCGCTGTCGGGGGTGCATCCTTATATTTAGTTTGCTTCTGAAATTACCAAAGAAACCACAAATTAAACAAGTGACAGATAATACTAATAACAAAAATAGACTAACTGGACCATGCAATTCAAAATTTTGGTATATAGTTTATTAGTGCCCAAGTGGCACCTAAAGACTCTAGCTCACCACCTTGACTGTTTGCACTCAGAACACTATGTTCTTCAAACATTAAGCCTCATTCAACACAAATTTTTCAAACATACTGTGAATTCTAACACATACTGCATTTATACAAAACACCTGATATTGCGGTTTTACTTGATTTAGATGCAGATGTTGAAGTAAGCCAACAAGTCATATTATTCATCATTTCACTATTTTATTGAACCATAAACACAGCAGAGGAAGCTCCAACTGTAGAGAATTTTTAATAAAAAGAGAAGAAACTGTACAGAGACATAAAACAAAAGGAAAAAGCGCCTGTACACCTGTACAGAACCTGGAAAAAAAGAGAGAAGGGGACTAGAGAGAGAGAGAGAGAGAGTCAGTTGTAATGAATCATCAATTGGTTATAATGAATCTTCGATCAGACACCATATATATAAATCAAACAGCCAATGAACCAGCAAAAAATAGCCTAATAAAAATATGTACATTTGGTGGGACAGGTGGCCCATTTACTTTAAGTAAACATTTGCGAGCGATATTTAGAAAGGATACCTTGTGCTTTGGGTTAGACCACATCTCCACGAGTTTTTTCCACTGCTCGTCACTCATAATGGCCAATGGTGAAGTTGTTCTCACCTGGTTGGCTGGTACATCATTGAAGTATTTCTTCTTCAACATGTACCTCATATTCCGCTGTCCTTTTTTGAGTATATCTGAGCATGCATCCTTCACTGGCTGACTTTTCATATCAATGTCAAATTGCATCTACACATGAGCATGAGCATATGGTTAAAAGGCACTCAAAGCATATAATTATGGTATTAGTAACATAACATGCATATTCAAGAGGTAATTATGCTATGTGAGAAAACATAACACCAGCAGATTATTTAACAAGTCAGCCTCATTTTTTCAATGGGATAGAATCATTTCAATTTGGATTGTGATTTTTGGTGTGGCTAGGACAATTTAACTGCATTTTTAGCTAAAGAAAATGCTATGAACCTGTACACTAGCATGCACCTAGACACCGGATTGTTTCCAGCAGCATCTGCTACAGTGCTACTTGTGCACCATCCTTTCCTACTCTGGTCTACAGCATCTTGCAGCGAGACATATGATTCTTGAACTGTAAATGAAAACAGATAGGTATGCATGAACTTTATTCAGGTTTGTGATGGAACACTTGATGTGTTGTCATTCTCAACCAGAGCACATTTACAATTAATATATTAGTCACTGCAACACACCTATACAGGCTGCAAAAAAAACATAGAACTCGACTGTGCTACCGCTGCATGCTGCAGCTGCAGAGCATCAGCCAGCCACTAATGCAGAGCACACACTAACTAATGCAAAACAGCAGCAGCTACAGCCAGCCACTGCTCAAGAGGGAAACACTACATTCATGTAATACCATACTTGAAATAGTCACTGTAAACAGGTTGTTCATAGTTCAGTCCCATGCCATGGCAATACCACTACTCAAGAGGGAAACACTACATTCATGTAAAGTATGCACATTCTGTTTCCATTCAACAGAAGAAACACAGGTTGGGCACTTACACCAATTTTTCCCATGTAGTCATCCAAAAGCTCCTTAACGGCATCATCTTCATAATCCTTCCAGCGGGTGAAGATTCGGATATGGTCCCAAAGAAAAATACCAGCCTCTGATGCTAGCTTTGCGGCTTCCATAGGTGCCTCTGGCCGCTTGTTTCCTTGAGCAATGTGCACTTTGATCTTGTTGTTTAATCCTCTAGAAATCCTATCCAAGCCTTTGCCCATACGTCTTTTGTCCATACATGGATCTATCATAACATTTCGAAAATAATTAGTGAAAATCATAGACCCATTAACACAAATATGCACATCATTAATCATGGAGATAAGAGGTAGAATAACTTACCTTGATGAGTCATGTTGTGGTTGTCAGATTGGGTATGAGCATTGGCAACAATCAACTCTTGATCTGTGGCACCATCTTGTGGGTCTGTAGCTAGAACATGGCAAATTTTAGTAGGTTCAGATAATTCCCTAGTCCTCTTCCCAGTGCCACATTGGGGACATTATTAGTATTCGCAAAAGTCACATGAGATGCCAGCTGAAAAGATATTGAACTCGTACTGAAATAGCTATCATTTCTTGTACATCTATGTAATCTATCTGGAATTTTGTTTGATTAATCTATTGTCCAATAGCATGAATTAATATTCTGCAAGGGCCTATGTGGATTATGGTAAATTTGTAGATCTAGATTGAATGAAAGTTTGGCAAGAGAAGCAACACAAACCTTGAATCTTTCAGTCCTTTCTCACATTTGTCTCGTCCTTTCTGCCACCAAGAAAAAAGTACAGAAAAATTAGTTGTCCCCAAACCCTAGCACACAGGGGAATGGGATGGAAGGAAAGGGATGCCTCCCCAAACCCTAGCACACAGGGGAATGGGATGGAAGGAAAGTGATGCCAAGGTGAAGCACCTGGATGCGGAGGGGAACAGGGATGCAGCGGTGGTAGCCCTCTTGCTCGCCGGGGGTGGCCTAGGGCTGCGGCGGCGTCCGTCCCTTGGGCGGCGGGGTCTAGGGCCGCAGCCAGGGGTGGCGGGATGCTGGGGCGACGGCGGGCTGCGGCGGCGGGGAGCTGGGGCGACGGAGGGCTGCGGCGGCGTCCGTCCCTTGGGCGGCGGGGTCTGGGGCCGTGGCCTGAGGTGGCGGGATGCTGGGGCGATGGCGGGCTGGGGCGGCGATGGCTGGGTGGCGCTGTCTCCGTCGGCCTTCGATGGCGTGCGGCTGGAGCGACGGCTTGGGCGGCGTACGTACGTGGGGTTGGAGCGGTGGCTTCAGCGGCGTGACTGTGTGGGTGGATGGGAGGATTGGGCCTGCTGACTGTTTGTTTTATTGGGCTCAATATTTCGCTCCTGATCTCCCGCGCAAGTATTTCACATTTACTCGGTTGTGCGCCTACCCTTTTAACGACACTTTGAGAGTGGATGCATTAGGCTACGACGACAATTTTTTTGTCTATAACTTTTGCCGACACTTTTATCGTTGGGAGGAGAAACGCCGACATATAAGGTGTAGCCTTAGGGTACTTTTGGCGACAGTTTATATGACATTAAAAGATGACACAATTGCCAACATAAAATGTGTTGTTCAAACCCTAGATTTACCAACACCTAAGTGTAGGGAAAAGTGGGTTATGGTGTAGTGCGATGACACCAATTTTGTTGCACTTGCAGTGCTCAACCAGGTTTGGGTTGATTTCCTCATGTTTCATATTCCTATCTACCACTATATTGTATACTGGTCTTTGATTCATATAAACTTATGTTTCCCCGGTCTAAGGGGCTTGCTGCCTGTTAAACCAAGTTGGAGCGCCACAATATATATATAGGTGTCTTGGAATGAGGCACGTGTGGTGGTTGTGGTGTGTATTGACATGCGTACGTACAATTATTTTGTTTAACTAGTAAAAAAATATACTCTCTTGCATATATAAACAAACTACATGGCATTAAGAATGATATTATTTTTCTTCTTTTTCTACCTCTTTTTTTTTAGGAAGTTGGGAGGGGAGGCCCCTACCTAATTTGTATTAAAATTGCAACTGTACAAATGTAGGTGCAAAGCCAAGAGGCTCAGAGAGGAAACAAGAGAAAATACAAGGAGAATAAGGTACAGAAATGCAGAAGAAAAAGCTACAAAATACAAGAGAAAGAACTTGCAGAACTAAAATAAATTGGACTGAGTTGACAACATCCAGAGTATCTGTGAATTCTCAATTTGATGGCCCTCTTGTTCTTGCAGCCGGTTGTTCCCAAATTTGTGTCCATGCTTCGATAGCCAAACTCCTTGGTTCCTTCCTTGTTCTGTGTTTCCAGAGTTGTAAAGTTTGCACTACATTCTCTTTGATTGCTGAGCAAGGTGTTGTAACATTGTCAAATACTTTCCTGTTTCTTGCCAACCAAATATTCCAGGCTATAGCAATTAAAATAGTTGCAGCTTCATTACCAGCTTGTACCAAGTGAATTTGTTCTGCTGCCAATAGAGCTTGAGCCATGTTTGTTTGCTGATTTAGTGCGAAGACTAAGGCTGTCCATACTTGAGTTGCATATGGACATCTGAATAGCATATGTTCAACATTTTCCTCTTCATCACAACCATAGGGGCATAAGGCATTATCTATGATATTTTTCTTTGCTAGGATATCTCTTGTCTTCAGTCTTCCCTTTGCTGCTTGCCAAGCAAAGATCTTACATTTCTTAGGAGCTAAAGACGATCAAATATCTTGTGCCATTGGACAAATGACTCCTGTAACACCCTAAAATTTTTACTTTTGAAAGTAGAGCTAAAATGATTTAATTTGGAATTTATGTGCTCATGAAAACATAGAAAAATAAAAATTTTCATTAATTTAAAATTCATTATAAGGAGTAGCAACATGGATGTGCATACATGCCGGTGCATTTGATTCATCGCAATGAGTGGTTGAATCCAAAATGCAAAATGCTTTTGAAAATGAAATTAAAAATGGCTTTGAAATAAAAGAAAAGAAAATCTAAAAATAAAAAGACTTTAAAAAGTTGTAAAGTTTATTTTTGGAAAACTTACCAAAATTTGCTCACTTTTATTTGAATTAAAAAGTATATTTGAAAATTCATTTCAATTTGCATTTGCTTCATAATTGAATTTGGTTTTGAAAACAAAATAGAAAAGGAAAAACTCTTCTCCCTCTCTTCTGACCCGGTCGGCCCAGCTCCTTCTCTTCTGCGTTTGGCCTAATAAAGACTGACTGCTGGTCTGTCAAGGCCCAAATGCCCAGTAGGTCTGGCTGCCACAAGACCGACCTGCCATGGACGACGCCGCCAGCCCTTCTCCTCTTCTCCCTCACTGACGCCATGACCCTGACTCTTCTCTCGCTGACAGATGGGACCCGCCTGTCAGCCGCTTCTTCTACCTCGCCGTCATCCCTGACATGGACTATACCGCCGCAATGACAGAGTTTGCGTCCTCCCCGCCTCGCTCGGTTGATGTGCTCCCCACGCCAGCCCGCCCCATATAAGCCAAGCCCGCACTGTGCTGCCCTCGCTCCATTCGAACGCAAGCCGCTGCTACCGAGTCACCGCGCCGCCACTATGGAAACCCTAGCCGCTGAGTCGCCATCGCCCCGCCGAGCAAAGCGTCGTCGCCATCCGCTCCGCACCGCAATCTTTGGCCTTGGTGAGTTCGCCTTGGTCTCGGCTTGCCCCCTGTGCCCTCGGTTTGCTCTCCTATGGCCTCTAGGGTCGGTTTTAAGTGCGCCGGTGGGGTCTCTCGCCGTCGGCCATGTTCCCCGCCGCGCCAAGCTACTGTTTCGGCGCCAGCATCTCTTCTCCCTTCCCATCTTCTAATCTCAGCCGTCTACTCCCTATCTAACGGCCCAAGATTTCTCGTACCCCTTCGTCCATCTCTTTTGCTAAAGAGCCCCTAAGCTTTTCTATTATTGAACCCGTCATACCTGGTTTCTTTCAAAAGGACCCCTACATTTTCTTTAAATAGTGCCCGCAGTCCTCGGCTAGATTTTATTTATTTTAATTTGAAAATCAAGTTTCATCTATTTACAAAATTGCCACTGCCTTCTGTAGGCCATAACTTTTTCATTTTAACTCTGTTTTGACCCGTTCCACTTGCGTTAGGTTCGTAATTTCATAATCTACATGTTCATACTACTGTTAGATAAGATTTCAACTTTTAAAATTCGAGGTAAGATTTAATCTATTATTTTATTAAAGGAAATCTTGTTTAATTCATATTTTCTACGTTTTAGCTCTGATTTGACCTATTCAAGTTGTGCTAGATTCATTACAACGAGATCTACATGTTAGTAACAATTTTTATCATGTCACTATTTCTAGAATTTCATGGTTTAAACTCTAATTTGAATAATAATTATGCAACTGGATTTTGTAAATAAAATATGATTTGTTTTACTTTTGCTTTGTAATTCAAATCTAAATTTGACTTAATTCAATTTATATAAGCTTTTATATAGTCAAAACACATGAAGCTTATAATTTTATATTTTCTCTTATGAGTAGATCTTTCGGTAGCCGTTTCTCTCAAACCGTAGCCCCGATTAGTGTCTCTCTCACGACTGTGTGTTCGTAGCGATGCGTAGAATCGTGTTTCAAACTCTTTTACTTATTTTTCTATGATTGGTGTATTGTTCTAATGTAGATGTAATTGTATGCTATGCATGTATATGTATGGATGTTTGTGTGGTGTTCTACGATTACGTCCAGTTGGTGAGATATACGTGGTTATAAAGAAGAAGAAGAAGTAGAACATTGAAGATTAAAGCTTACCGAAGAATCGGTGTTTTAAGGCAAGTATGGCATGGGATCTTCCTTGTTTTCCTATGCACCATTAATCACTTATCATACTGCATGTGTCTACCTTGATTACCACTAAGGATTTCCTAGTACTTTGTACCTTGTGCCTTGATACCTATGGGGTATTGCATTGGGTAGTATGATGCTAGTGCTCAACTACAATCATTGTTGACACCGTTTTTGCACGTGTCAAAATGATCGGAGTGGACTGATCGGCAAGGGAAAGTTATTGTATACTCGATAACCGATGAAAGCCGACTTGTAAAGATGGTTGCCGATAAGCTGTAGTGGTGGTCGATGGAAAGGTTGATTTAGACTCGGGCGTTGCCGATGAGGTTGGAGGTGTTATTGTCGATGCCGATGAAGGGAGGCTTGAGGCTTGAAGACTACTGCCGATGAAACAGGGAGTATGCCGATGAAGGAAGACTTGAAGACTACTGCCGATGAAACAGGGAGTATGCCGATGGGAAGGAGGACGGTGAGATTTCCATCGTAATTGAGGCGGACAGGGAAATAGATAGGAGTTGATTTCCTTTTCTATATTTGTTAGAGT